CTGCTTTGCTGGCGAAAAGGAGGCTCAGGTGTTTGTCTTACCTCCATGCTGGTGAGGAACGACTCCTGTTCAGTTGTTGAACAGAGCCTACACACACACACACACACACATCCCACACGTCACATATAGGCACCACACAGTACATGTGCACACACACACCTGCACACACCTACACAGTACATACACACCACACTCACCACATCCACATATCATGCACACACCTACACAGCACATACACACCACACTCACCACACCCACATATCATGCACACACCTACACAGCACATACACACCACACTCACAACACCCACATATCATGCACACACCTACATACCATGCACAGCACATGCACACAACATACATCACACCCACAACACACATGCACACACAGCACATGCACACACGTACACACCCTACACACACCACACCCACAACACACATGCACAACATACACATACTACACATACCATATACATACCACTTCATCCATAAACAGCACACACCACATGTATACATCATACACACCACTTACACATGCCATATACACACATTACACACCACTCAACACACACCTACCACAACCACAACACACACTATGTATACAAATTACACACATGACACAAACCATATACACACACACCACACACTGTACCCTCACCCCTTCATCCACTCAGCGCACACATGTGCACACCATATGTACACACCACATGTACACACCTTACACCACATTCACACACCATATACACACACTACACACCATATACACACACTACAGACACACCACTCACAACACACTCTGCTACACACACACACACACACACACACACATGACACGCAATACACACACAAACCTAATATACACACACCACACAGACACATCATACCCACACCACACCCACAGCATCCACACACCACACACACTGTGTACACACCACTCCATCCACACACAACACACACACACGCACACACCACACACACAAATCAGAGCTCAACACCGGCCTGGAACATACCACTGCGCTTTATTAAGAAATAATCCGGCCGCACCGGGGGCCGAGGGCGCGAGCGGTTGAGAATGCATCGGGGAGCAGAGGGGAGGGAGCCGCAGCCCCGTTCGTTCTGGGAGCCGAGCAGACCCCAGTGGTTTTGTTCCGGGAAAGCAAGGGTACATCAAGCTGCCGAGCCAGATGGCCGCGAGATTTACGGCCCTGCGAAGAGGAGCCTTCGTGCTCTTGGGGTGAGTTACGGGGACGTGGGGCATTGATTAGACGGCAGCGCAGCCGGGCGCAGCTAGGGGATGAGCAGCAGAGGGGAGATGGTGGTGCTGACGGTTCTTATGTAGTTTTCAAAGTCACTTCCGAAAAGGAGGATGAGGTAATAGTTGAGGATGCCGGCCAGAGACATGAGGAACAGGAACAGGATGATGCGTTTCCCGAATATGTAGCCCGGGGTGCTGGAAAAGAAGCAGGGAGCTGTACCGCAGCCCACGGAACCCTGGCCTGTCTGAGCCGCAGGCGCCTGGGCGCTAAACGGTGGCCCCCCATCCCAGACTACTCCGTGCCCCTGGTACTCATTCCCAGTCTGAAGAACGGGGCCTGCACCGTGCATCAACCATGGAAGGCACGTTCAAGACCAAGCCCAAAGAGCCTGGACGTCAGAGCCCAGAGTGGCCTCTTGCTGGGGGCGTGGCCTGGGCGCTGGGGGTGTCGAGGGAGCAGCCGGCCCACGTGTGGGTGCTGTGGGTCATCCGGCTTCTGACTGTAGCCTCCGCATAGAGCTGGCTCCCTGAAGCAGCAGTTCTCAAGCTGTGGGTCGTGACCCCTCTGGGGGTCAAACAACCCCTTCATGGGGTCACCGATTCATCACAGAAGCCAAATGACAGTGATGAAATAGCCACGAAAATAATTGTATGGTTGGGGAGTCACCACCACATGAATTGCATTAAAGGGTTGTGGCGTTAGGAAGGTTGAGAACCAGTGCTCTAGGGTCTAGGGTCACCTCTGTCAGGGAGAAGCCGGATGGCCCGTGCTGGCATCTGCCCTGCTGGCACAATGGTTAAGTGCTCGACTGCTAACCAAACCGTTGGTAGTTCGATCCCACCCACCACCTCCCAGTGAGAAGACCAAGCACTAGGCTCTCAGAAACCCACAGGGGCCGTTCTACTCTGTCCCAGACGGTTGCTGTCTGTCAGAATTCCCTCAGTAGCACCCAACAACAAGTATTTCTGTGTTGTTGTTGTTGTTGTTGTTGTTGTTGTTAGCAGTGGACTCAATGCCACCGGTCGATGTTGACTCACAGCAACCCTATAGGACAAGGGAGAACTGCCCTGCTGGTTTCTGAGACGGTCACTCTTTCCTGGAGCCGACGGCCTCACCTTGCTCCTGAGGAGCGGCTGGTGGCTTCGAACTGCTGACCTTGCAGTTGGCAGCTCAACATGGAACTCATTATGCCACCAGGATAGTGCCTCCCCATGAAAGGATGGGCCCCACCCACTGACAGAGCAAGCTTCTGCTCTTGTGTCTCTGGACAAACCGTGAAAGGCTTGACGTGCAGGGGGTCTTGGGGATCCAGACGGAAAAGGTCATGCCCACCCCAGACGCCCCTTCTCTGGGGCTGCAGAGACAGTGCTTGAGACGTCAAAACACCCTCTGGGCATCCACCTCCCTGAGGGGCCATTCTCCTGTCACGGGAAAATCATCCACAGGGGTCCTAACAGAGCTTCAAAGCCCCCAAAGGGAATCCTAGTCAGTGCCCGCCCCTTGCCCCAATCCACCCTGTTGCATGGTGG